TTTGTTTTGGGATTATTCCTACTATCAGAAATCTTTACGGGAACTCTTAGTAGCATGGTTAGTCTGTTGATGGGTTGAATGGTTTGTGTATTGGGTCTGAAAGAAAAGAACATGGATAAAATCTACAAAAGATCTATACAAGTCTCTTATATCAAAGAATCATGACAGAAGACTCCCACGTGATTTTAATTGAACAACAGTATCACTAAACTGTATCGACAACTTTGACCTCTTATTTTTAACCGTTATAAAATCTGGTATTAGTAAGATATAATATTTTCTAATTTTTTATGTTACAATTTTTCTTCCATTTTTCATACAGGTGCTTAGAAAGAGACATACTATCACTGTTCACTGTTGTTCTGTTTACAAAGGTTTATCCGACGTAGTTTTTTTCCTGATGACAATTCAAGGTCTGTAACAACGGCCTCCCTTGCTGAATTTTTTTTTTTTATTTATGTGGAGAATTTCACTATTTTCTGCAAATCTTTTCTTCTAGAATTAATTGCAATACATATTGTACAATAAAAATGTTAAATTTTGAGAAAGATAATAAACGACCCAAAAGAAGAATTAAAAGTAAACTTCGAAAATGGAAAAGAAATGTCCAGTAAGAAATTCCAACACCAGATTATACAGTACTTTGTAATAAATTTTAATTGTTATGAGAACATCCATGTGCTAAGCAAAAGATGTAGCGAGGAAACCTTTTGAATTTGACGCGCCTAATGCATAAATAGGGAAAGATAATATTTGAGAAAAGATTAGCTAATAATCAGAAGATTAGTTCTTGGAACTTGTTATCTGAAAAATGTAAGAAATATAACAGATTCTAGGGAAATGGATAACTTATGGATCAGTGGAGAAGTGGAAACTCTAATAAATTATAATCTCTGTTTTCTTATTGCTCTGTATTCATTTGAGAGTCTTTATCTTTATTAAGTTTCTCATCCCTTTTTTTCTTTCTTGATGATCTACCGCAATAAGCTTCTTGCTTTAGATATGAATGGCATAATAAATGTATGGGACAGAAGAGTTAGCAATTTTCCCTGTTTAGAGCTGACTTCTGATTCCAATGGCACATTTAACAGCATTAAATTAGGTGGGGATATTGAGGTCAGTTTTAATTAAAATTTTTGATACCATAGAATATAAAATAAGAATTGTAAAACTCCCCAGAAAAGAAAATAGAGGCTATTCTGCAGATTCAAACCTAGGATTTGCATATTGACACAACAACAA